CCATGGGTAAGCAGCTGGTTATGCCTGAATGGAATGTGCTAGTGACTGCCTAAGTACATCTGTCCCCAGAGACTTGCGTCGTCACAGAAATAAATATGCACACTGTCCTGCTTAATCATGCTGTCCCCTTTGTAAACATCACCTTTTTGGCTAGTGATTCCTCATGCTAAATGTCAGGTCTGCCTCCCGTGGGGAGTCTTGTGACTGTGACTTCTTAAGCCTCTTCAGTGGGGATCTTCTCACACATTCTTATTTTTGTGTACATGGTCCAGATGGAGTTTGCCTGCCAGGCTCACATGTGCGACAAAGAAGTTCGCATTGTAGAAGCAGCTAAAGTGATACCTAAGTCAAGGTGTGCCTGGGTTGTATCTGTTCCTCCAGACATACTTGGCAGGTAAGTTGTTCCTGTGCATAAGATGCCATCTGCTTTCTTTTGCCGATCTTGATGGGTGCTTCGGGACCCCTTCTACTTGGCCATGTACTACTGGTGCAGAATAACTTCTTCTGTAAGGCAGCCTCCCCACTGTGCTTGGATCGATGATTAGTCCCCCTAATTTTATGCATTCCTTGGAAAACCTGAACAAAATGAGTGAGAACCTACACCACCGCTGTTATCATCATATCTGAGGTCTAGCAAATGGTCACTCAAGGGGCAGTAGGCATAAGGGTCCACTTCCTTTTCATCACATGCACAGATCATCATTCCAGTCTTTCTCATCATGGTGATTATCATCTACCAGGCAGATGTCATGTATCTCTTTGTAACTTCAAAGTGTCCCTCTTGGACTTGTGTGGTTAGCTTGTTGTATGCGTTGTCAGCGAACCATGATGAGGATGATTCTTCTGTTGGAGAGTGATTAGCATTTGTAAGCCACCTAGTGACCAGGAGCTCTAGCTTTCTATCTGCCAGGGTTCGAGGAGATGAGAATTGGATTTGGATGTCAAACATTTCTTGGTTTGTAGAAGATATTAAGACTAAGATTTAGGGAATAAGTTGGAATGGGAGATGTGTTCCGAAAGTAAATAATGGGCCAAACATCATGATCTCTCAATGTCTGTATTGCAAACCATAATGCCCAAAAGTAGAGAGAAAGTATGGGGAATATTGTCTGCCATGGAGACAGGGGGAGGGTGGGGAAGAGAGGGTGTTCTGGGGAGATTGGTGATGGAAAATGTGTACTGGTGGAGGGATGGGTGTTTGATCATTGTGTGATTATAACCCAAACATGAAAGCTTATAACTGTCTCACGGTGATTCAATAAAATTTAAAAAATGACTAGTTTTCGGTGGCTGCAATTCGGCCATCTTCATGACATTCTGGGTTTTGGACATTGAGAGCTGTTGTCATACTCATTTGGCAGCAAGAATAAGGCACAGAGCATTTTCACAGAACCTTTCCATCCTGAAGTGGGGTGCGTCACTGTGTCTCAGGTGGTAGAAGGATACTGAGAAATCCACATGCTGATGGTATATGACATATTACTAACAGGGAACAGCCCAGGATCATCAGATGTGATTGTGGACGCCAGTCTTTGGATATGTGTTGTCCTTTTGGTCCCAGTACTGATAGTGGCTCTATGTAGCAGATTGTTGGTTAGAATGTAAGGGTTATGGCTTCTTATAAGGGTTATCCCTAGAAGTCTCCATGTGTAATATAGGTGGACACCACCATTCAGTTGCATGTCAACGACAGGGGATCAAATGCTCAATGTCACTCCACATGTGTAGCTTCTAGATGAATGAGGTGGTTCTTGCTGAGTGGTTGGCTTTTGTTCATAGGGAGCAGTGGAAGATTCTTGGACTTCAGGTCTACCGATTGTTCTATCACACTGAAAAGTGGGTTCTGCCCTGGAGTGCCAGGCCCTCAGTCATTTATCTATATCATGCCTGAGTTCCTGAAGACCCATCACTAGATGTGCAGAAGTGGCATTTCCCTGTGCAAGAGAGTGGTTTTCAATAGTATCTTCCAGTTTTTGGACCTGAGCTTCCATTATAGTTGTGGAATTTTTTTTGTCATTAGGGGATCTCTCTTCATTTCCATGTGGAGTATTGAGGCCACAGAAAAAGTTAAAAGTCGAGGACTCATTTTCATGCTCTTGTTTTCATGTGCCTCATATATGTGTAGGATGTTGAAGTCCATTTCTGGGACTTACAGCTCCTAGAGAGTTTTATATGTTCTGACTTTATGACTTCCTCAGGATAGAGTTGTTATGGAAAGTTTTTGCTCATCCTAGAAAGGCGCTTCCCTGCTGCATATTTCAGTATTGTTTGGACTAATTTCTTTCCATGCATGCATGATTCTGTGACATCCCCAGAACTTACTGTGAAACTGGGGTATCAAAGAAAATCATGCCCTGGGACAGCCCCATTGGTCCCTAACAACACTGTTACTCATTGGCTGGCTAGGCCACGTTATTCCCAACTCAGTCTGCAGAGACGGTCTGAGTAGACATGTCAGCACTGTGCAGGAGAGTTGAGCTGAGCACATCCTTGCTAATTTGTTTCCCAGTAGTGCTGACCACTGCTTCTATGGTTCCGGTAGCAGTTCATTCTTTTCTGTGTCCTGGAATTTGTGTCTGAGGTCTCAGTACTTGTTCTTGGGTCAAGGGAGAGACTGTGCACTTCTATAGAATAGTAGTGACTATGAGCCAAGAGTTTCTTTGGCATGCTGGAATTGACTTTGAATATGAACATTTGGCTGTTCCAGTGGGAGGCTGTTGCAATGTGGAACCAGAATGGCAGTGGGTGTATTGAATAAAGGCATGGGAAAAGTTGTTGATTGTTAGCCCCCCCCGCCACACACACACACACACACACACCACATGTACACCCACAGAGGAATATGTACTTATTTTCCACAATCCTGTCAACTTGTGTACAGTCTCCTACGCCTTCCATCCTACTCTATGACCATTCTTCTGTAATGGCTAATGTTATGTTGTAGTTAAAATCTTTCTTGCCTGGTTTTGGGCACGTTCTCATGCACTGTGATTTTTCCTTGGAAAACCTGAACTAAATGAGTGAGAACTCACACCACCTTCATTCTCATCATTTCTGAGGTCAAACATGTGGTGTGCCTGACAGATGATAGTCCTGAGGGACAGTACTTCACACTTGCACCTTTATCCAGGGTCTCCCTATATGAGCTGCATGGACATATAGGGAGACACAGAGATTTTGTTTTACAGTGAGTTTCCTAGTGATCGTCAGTTGGTTCCTTTAATCTCCCCAGCATGTAGTTTATTGAGGTACTTACTGAGACCTGATGGCTCTTGTTTCCTGATATGGATGATTTTCTTTGTGGAAATACTGTGCCAAGCGGTTTTTTCCTTCTTTCTTGATAGGTGCACTTCTTGTGCCTTTTGTGTCTATGTGTGTGCGTTTTATTTCTATGCATGTGTAGGTTTTCTCACTTGGCATTTGTTATATTTTAATGAAGCATATCGACAAGTACAAGTGTTCCCTGAGCTTTCCTATTGGGCTGTTTAGAATAATGATACTCAGTGTTAATCAATGTACCCCCACCATGTTGCTATGCCATGGAGATCCTCTAACTGAAAGGACTTGGAACTTATCATTGTGAATTACAGTGAGCTGACTGTTTCCATGCTTTATGGTGCTTGTTGCTGCTGGCCACTTCATCAGATCAGTGAACCATGGGAATTCCTGTGTCATAATTTACTTTATCTTATGTCCTGTGCTTGGAATCCAGATAAAGGGAGACGGAGTGTGTCCTACTCTGATTGCAGCAGTGTCTATGAGCAGTCTAACTCCTTGACTCCCTTTGACTAGCTGAGAAATGCAAGATGGGCTTATGCAATGCATAAGAAAGGTGGCGGTAAATAAACTCAACCCAGATCATACCACACAAGGTGATTATGTTTTGGCAGACACAAGAAAACCCCTCCCTTATGTAACCACATGTGGATATCCAGTCCTTCCCTAAGTACTGCCGAATACAGTGATGTCCCTCATGCCTATCATCTCACCTATAGCTACTGATATGTGAGTGTAAATAACAGGTTGATCCAGGATATCTTGTGCTTTGAAATCTTACGACTACTCCATGGGCACATTCTAATGTGTTTCATTTTTTGTCTTCAATGCTCAGGTGAAATTTGTCTGCCATACTCTCTGTGCTCCTTGAAAATTGGCCAGTTTTTTCTAGAGCAAAGAGTCACAGTTTCTCCAGGTCAATTTTGGCCATGGTGCCCTTTTCCTCACACTTCGGAAGGGTAAGTTGTACGTTATGTCCTAGATGTCATATGGTTTGCTCTTTTTTCTGCTAGTGTTGAACCTTTTTGAAGACCTCTCCCCTTAGGCCATATATTAGTGGTTCGGGGCACTGTTTGTGAGAGTCATTATCCTCAGTGTGCTTGGATCGATGATGAATACCCCTAACTCTACGCATTCCTTGGAAAACCTGAACAAAATGAGTGAGAACTCATACCACCGCCATTCTCGTCGTATCTGAGGTCCAGCACTTATGGTAGGCATAGGAGACATATTTTACTTGACCAATGTCTTGTAGCACTGTCCAGGTCCCTTTTCAGAAGCACATGGCATTCAGGACCTGTGACTGTTTTCTGTGGAGCATTAAAATATTAATAAACAGAAAGAGGCATGCAGTCCTTGACAGAATCTTGCCTAGTCATGCCTGCCATACAAATTTTTGACTCTCAGTTTGTGAGGTTAGATGCCACAATAGCTCAGGGGGATCCTATAGATTTGATCTCTTTTGCTTGGACCCTGGGCATTCACTCATGTTTTCTGATTTTTCTGAACACTACTCAGGTAGAGTTTGCCTGCCACACTTTAAATATGCACGGAGAGCTTCCTGTTGTCTTCTCAGTGGAGACTGATGGGATACCCAACTAAAGATTCACCAGGGCCCTCATATGCCTCAGACACTTCCAGAGGGTAAGCAGTTTATGCATCACATAGGAAGTCTCCTGTGGTTTATGCTTGGCCTCTTCTGTTCCTTTGAGCGCCTGTTCTTCAAAACCATGCATTCCTTGGAAAATTCATTCCTGGGAAAACCTGAACAGAATGAGTGAGAACTCCTACCACTGTCGTTCTCATCGTTTCTGAGATCTAGCACATGGTCTGCCCAAAGAACTGTCAGCATGAGAGACAGAATTCCCTTTCTCTCTCTCTCTGTCTCTCTCTCTCATACACACACACACACTACCTCACTGGTGCACCTGCATGAGCAGCTCTTTGCCTTTTAAGACTCATTGATTTTAGGGTTAGGTTTAGCATCATTTGATTCTCCTAGACTGGATTGGAATACTGGTCTTGTGGCATTCTACTAAGAAAGCTGTGATGTATTATTGTCAAATGTACATCATCCCTTAGTAAAAGCAGCATCTGTCTTACCAATGGTAGAGGAACATTGAGAAGTGACTAGATTTTGACTTCATTGACCACTACTCCACCATTGGCTATTTGAGTTTGCCTACTGGTTTTAACCTGGATGCCTAGTGGGAGACTCTCTGGTGACTGAATTGCTGACATGCAGAACATGTAATTAGAGCAGCATCTGTCTTACCAAGGGTAGGGGAACATTGAGAAGTGACTAAATTTAGACTTCATTGACCGCTACTTCATCCGTTGGCTGGTGGAGTTTGCCTACTGGTTTTAACCTAGAGGCCTAGTGGAAGACTCTCTGAATTCATGTCTGAATTTCTGACATGCAGAATATGTTGACAGCAGCAACTACACTCTGTTAACCTAATGTAGAGTGGGCCAACACCTCCACACACACTTGCATCTGGTGGCTGATGTGGATGGAAGCTGAGGACAGTGTTAAGATGTCTGGTATGATTACAAATTTTAGGTTTGTGTCATGGGTGCTACTCTGAAACAGTTGAGAGGAGGGTTCTTTGGATTGGTTGCGGGTTCAAGGGGTAGGGTGTATGTCTTCTTTTAAACACAATGCTGAGTGGTGCAAAGAATGGTCCTTAGGCATTTTCTTACGTGTTTACCATTTTGTTTGTATTACGCAGGTGGAGTTTATATGCCTGGCTTGCCATGCACCAAGAAGAGCTTCCTTTCATCACCAACTAGAGCAGACACTGATGGGATTCCAAGGCCAAAATACAGTCTGTGGGGCATGGTATATTTCCAGTGGATAATTATAGAAGGTAAGTGCTCCGTGTGTTCAATATGCTATGTACTTTGGAAATATTTTTGTCTGTCTTAAAGGGTCCATTCCCCATGACCGTGTCCTACAGTCCACAGCAGATGCTTTTGTGAGACTGGCCTCCCCACTGTGCTCGGATCAATGATGAATACCCCTAACTCTATGCATTCCTTGGAAAACCTGAACAAAATGAGTGAGAACTCCTACCGCCGCCGTTCTCATCGTATCTGAGGTCCAGCACATGGTGTTCCACACAGATAGAAGTCATTAAGGGATATTTTCATTGGTTAAAGTAATACTACACCATTCAGAACTTTTTTGGAGGCACTTGGCCTACCAGGGTGTGGTACTATGTTTTCTCTGGAGTAGTCAATTATCATCACTAACACAAGGAAGTGCAGTTCTTGCCATAGTCATGCCTATTCATGCTTTGTTTCCCATGTCTGTCACTCAAATTTTGGGGTATTGGTTTGTGGAATCAGATGCCATACTTGCTCACGGCATCCTGTGTCTGTGATCTCTTGTGCCTAGATTCTTGGCAGTCACATGTCCTGCTTTTTCTGTTCACTGCTCAGGTGGAGTTTGCCTGCCTTGACTCCCCATGTGCCAGGAAGAAATTTCATTGTCTTCTGCGTGGATACTGGGATACCCATGTGAAGGTGCAACAGATATTTCAGGAGGGTAAGTTGATTATTCATCCAAGAAGCAATTGGTGTGGTTTTTCTTTGGCCTCTCTTGACTGGTCCTTGAGAAGCTGTACCTTAAAGCCATGCACTACTCGGCTGGCTAGCTGCTAATGTGAGGCAGCTTCTCCACTGTGCTTGGATCGATGATGAGTACTTCTAACTCTATGCATTCCTTGGAAAACCTGAACAAAATGAGTGAGAACTCCTACCACCGCCGTTCTCATCGTATCTGAGGTCCAGCACATGGTGTTCCACACAGATAGAAGTCATTAAGGGATATTTTCATTGGTTAAAGTAATACTACACCATTCAGAACTTTTTTGGAGGCACTTGGCCTACCAGGGTGTCGTACTATGTTTTCTCTGGAGTAGTCAATTATCATCACTAACACAAGGAAGTGCAGTTCTTGCCATAGTCATGCCTATTCATGCTTTGTTTCCCATGTCTGTCACTCAAATTTTGGGGTATTGGTTTGTGGAATCAGATGCCATACTTGCTCACGGCATCCTGTGTCTGTGATCTCTTGTGCCTAGATTCTTGGCAGTCACATGTCCTGCTTTTTCTGTTCACTGCTCAGGTGGAGTTTGCCTGCCTTGACTCCCCATGTGCCAGGAAGAAATTTCATTGTCTTCTGCGTGGATACTGGGATACCCATGTGAAGGTGCAACAGATATTTCAGGAGGGTAAGTTGATTATTCATCCAAGAAGCAATTGGTGTGGTTTTTCTTTGGCCTCTCTTGACTGGTCCCTGAGAAGCTGTACCTTAAAGCCATGCACTACTTGGCTGGCTAGCTGCTAATGTGAGGCAGCTTCTCCACTGTGCTTGGATCGATGATGAGTACTTCTAACTCTATGCATTCCTTGGAAAAACTGAACAAAATGAGTGAGAACTCACACCACCGCCATTATCGTCATATCTGAGGTCCAGCACATGGTCTGCCAATTCAACTTTAGGTGTGAGGCAAAGCTTTCTATTGGTTATATGTAATAGCATCTGGTACTTCGTTTAGAATGTGTTTTACCTTGTAGCATCAAAGACTTTGGTTTCCCAATTAGATATTGATTATCATTTTCTACATCCCCTTAGGAATTTGTTGACTTAGTTCAGTTAGTACATGTAGTCCAGATGTGTCATTCTAGTCCAAGGAGGATGATAGCTTTTCTTATTCTGGAATTTGCTTATTATTTGACAAAGCGCTAGTGTCCAGGCAGCATTTGTTTTCCCAAAGACTGAAGCATTGAGGACACGTGATTGGATTTGGATGCCATATGTTGCTTGGTTTTCAGGAGGTAGCAACATATCAGTTGCAATAAACAAAAAATTACAATTCTCAGAGAAGATTCTCAGTTGCAATCATAAGGTAGCAACACACAAAGTATTTCTTTCTTGTGTGTTTCAGTGGTGCCTCCTATCAGGTGGTTATGACCTGAACGGTTGATGTTGTTACTTAGAAGTGTGGAATAATGTTTCTCAGAGCCCATGTTGAGACCCTAGTCAGCATTAACTACTGCCTGTGACCCTGTCATTGGGTGGGTCAGCTGGTACCAAGTGGTAGAAGCACAATGATAGGCATATGTTCCGCTTGTGGCAACTGATTTCAACAAGAAGCAGAGTTGAGGAGCCAGGAAAGTCCACTGTTATTGGAAAGACCAAGTTGGACATGGTGTGTGCCTTTATTTCCAGCACTCACAACAGTTCCTGGATGAGGATGTGTGTAGGAAGGTCATGGAGTGTTGCTTTCTTGTGTGATTCTGTGAGTCCCCCGTGTACAATAGAGGTGTAGGGCCACTAGTCATTTTCTAAGAGACTGGGTACCAAATTATCGAGGTAATTCTGCATAAGGACAGAATTGCCTTGTTCCCTGTGTGAAAGAGGCCATTGTTTTTGATAATTTTTCATGATTTCTGGACCTGGCAAAATAACCCCTGGCCCAGTATAACTCCCGCCTAAATCCATGCAAGAGTGTAGAGCACGAATTCAGTTGAAGTGTTACTCCATTTCCCATTCCCAGTGTGTAGAATGTTAAAGTGCCTTCTTTGGACTTAGAGTCTCTCAGAATCTCATGTACCCTGGTGTTTATAATGGCCTAGTGGTGGAGGTGGCATGTAGGATTTTGGTACATTACTCCTGAAACATGATTCCATATTGCCCTTTTTCATGCATATGTGCGGTTAGGATTGTATCCACAGAAGCCCTTTATTTTTCCTGAAAGGTGGTTGCCAGGGTTACCTGTATTAAAGGCTAGTTGCATTTGTTCTTGGTTGTATTGTCACTTGCATCCCCCCTTGACCCCTAAGTCCACGAAGACCCTTTGGGTACAGGTGTGTGGATCCCAGCTCTGCTGGATTGCAGAGATTCCAGTCTGTATGCCTATGGTTGCCTGATAGCTAGTTCTTCTACATCAGGAGAAGTAGCTCATGTATATTTCTGTGTACTAATGTGTTTCTGAGTTTCTTCTTTTGCTTTGGGCTCAAGTAAGGAAAGGATGAGTGTGCCATATGTTAGGTCAGTACCTGAGAGAACAATGACTCATTGCCACCTGGTGTTTACTTAAGAGATTAATATTGGGCACTGTATTGTGAAGCCTCCATGTCCTGCCATCCAAATATTGGGTGGCATTCACTTCATTGGACATACAAGATTCTAAGTAAGACCTTGTTTGATGCCCCCCACGAGCCCCACATTCATACACCCACCAGGGGGCATGAAATTTTTATTACAGTTCTGAATTCTCCTGTGCTTACCCCCATGTCTATCATCCTACCTTATGGGTACTGTTTTTTGAGGGCAAATGCCAGACCTGTGCTTTCAATCTCATATACCTGTTCTCTGGGCACTTTGTCATGTCTTCTGCTTTTTGGTACACTGTTCAGGTGGAGTTTGCTGGCCACGATCAACATTCATCAAGAATAGCTTCCTTTTGTTACCATACATCATATCTACCTGATGTTAGGTCTGGATACTGCACTATACGTGAACACTTATGGAAGTTAAACTGTCCCTGCATTCAAGATGTGATCCAGTAGTCTTGGAGGCCTGTCTGGGAGGCTGCTTGTGGATCCCTCCTTTTTGTTCATGTGCTACTGACCAAGGACAGCTGCTTTTGTAAAGCAGGCTCCCCAATGTGCTTGATTAGTACCCTAACTCTATGCATTCCTTGGAAAACCAGAACAAAATGAGTGAGAACCTCCACCACCACCATTCTCATTATTTCTAAGGTCCAGTATATAGTCTAACCCAGAAAGGTCAGATGCACGTGCCATCACCTTGGCCCCCGCTTCTCTGGAACCTGTTATTGCAGCATCTAGCACTATTGTTTTCATAGAGCGTTTGTCAAAAATCCTTACTTTTTCTTAGTCATAAGCACATTTGCGGTGCATGTGGCATCCTATTCTGTTTGTCTAGATATGATGACAGTGATAATTTCCAGGGTTGTGCTTAACATGTGCGAACCATCTAGTATTCATGCAGCATGTGGCTTCCCAAAGACTGGACATTGAGGAGGAGTGATTTTATTTAGAGGTCAGGTGTTGCTTGGTATTCAACAAATATCAAGATTAGGTTGCAGTTGTCTTAGTTCAGCACTATGTCTGTTGGCACATGTCTGGTAATTCTGATATGGAGGGTAATATGTGTCTCTGTAGTAGGTGAACAGGAGGTAGAAGAACTCTTACATGCACATGTGCTGCTGACTACCAATATAGACAAGAGACAAAGTACAGTAACCATGAGGGACAGATGTCATTTCATAGTCCAGATTGGATGTGGTATGCCTTTATTCCCAGCTCTCTTTGGGACTCCCTTTAGGACTATAGGGTTGAGAGGGTTATGGAGTGTAGCTCATTTTGGGTGGGATTTTGAAAGGTTTCCAAGTGCTCTTGAGGTGGATGACCACTTGTCAGGACCAGACATAGGAGCCACATTCTACATAATGTGCATGAAGAAGAATGCATGGGCTTAATATCCAGTTAGCTACTCAGGTGCATAGGCACCACAGTACTTGCTTGACTCCTTTGGGCCTCTTAGGTTTTGAAAATTACTAGAAAGTGATTTCCCTTCCGGGTGGTTGGTTATTACAGAATCTCATTCTCCATATAGCACCTCACTCTCAGTTGGCCCTGATTAGTTGCCACCACAGTGCCTGGGTTTGCTCATGTACTTTATGTGTAAGCACCCACAAGGGCAGAGGTGACATATATCTGAGCAGAGGAGTTTTTCACATAGATGTTTTATGATTTCTTGACCTGATCTGTCATTAGAATTGGGACAGTCTTACAAAGTGACCCTGGACCAGAACTCCCTCTTTATGCCATTCAAATAGTCTAATGCATAGAATCACTTGTTGATTGGGCTTCATACTAATGTTCACATTTCCCTAGTGTATAGGATGTTCAAGTATATTCCTGAGTTATAGTATGTGTTTCCCTTTCTGAGGTCCTTGTTGGTGCTTCAGCCTCAGGTGAATGGAGCTAGAGTGTGCTATATCTCAATGCAGCAGCAGCTAAGAGAACAGTCACACCTTGGCTTTCTGGAGTCCACTTAGAAAATGAATGTTGGGCACTGGAGTGTGTGGCATTTCTCTAGTACCATCCAAAAGTTGGGGAATTAGGTAAACTTGACAGAAAGGATGTTGGGGATGGTATTGATTGTTGCTTGGACATACTTGAGCCCCACTGTCATGTACCTACACAGCAACCTGACATTTTCTTTACAGTTCCACCTACTCATTTTGTAGCACCCCATGTCTACCATCCTACCTTGTGGCTACTGATTTGTAAAGGGCAACCACCAGGTCTTCTGAAAGGTATATATTGTGTTTGCAGTGTTGAATACCTACTATCCAGGCATCTTCTCATGCATTCTGCTGTTTTTGTACACTGCTCAGGTGCAGTTTGCCAGCCAGTCACAAGATTTCATCATGAAGAGCTTCATTCCAGTGCTAGCACAGCATCCTGAATGACCATGGCCAATTCTAGAAGGTAACCTGCCCCTGCATCCATGATCCAATCCCCTTTGGTATTGCTTAGGACTTTACTGAAATGTCCTTGAGGATTCATTCACCTAGCTCATGTGCTACTGTCCAAGCCAGATCCTTATGTCAGAGAGAATCCCCACTGTGCTCGGATAGATGATGAGTACTCCTATCTCTATGCATTCCTTGTAAAACCTGAACAAAATGAGTGAGAACTCAAACCACCACCGTTCTCGTCATATCTGAGGTCCAGCACGTGGTGTTCATCACATATGGTAGGCATAGGAGACATATTTTACTTGGTGTTCCACACAGAACGTAGGCATAAAGAACAGCTTTTTCTTGGTATGCATGCAGCACACTCCAGAACCTTCAATCGAGTCATTTGGCCTTCAAAAGCCCAGGACTATGTTTTCTTAGGAGGAGTCAAGTGTCATCATCCACACAGCAACATGTAGTTCTTGCACATTAGCTGTCGGCCATGCCTATGTCTGAATTTATGGCAATTGTTTTTAGGACAGATGTGAGGCCTGCTAGAAGGATCCTGTGTCTGATCTCTTGTGCCTGAACCATGAACACACCTTCAAACAACCTGCTTTATCTGTACACTGCTTAGGTAGAGTTTGCTATACTTGTCATGGGTCAAGAAGAGCTTCCTGTTTTCCATTGAGTGGAGATGGACAAGATACCACGTGCTCTTCTGCCATAGACACTTCTGGAGGGTAAGCTGTTTATATATCCATGTATCTCTTTACTGTTGTTTATCTTTGGCATCTCTTGAATGGTGCTCGAGGAACAGTTTCTCAAGACCATGTAGTCCTGGCCCAAGCCAGCTGTTTGTGTGAGGCAGCCTCCACACTGTGCTCGGATCAGTGATGAGTACCCCTAATTCTTCATTCCTTGGAAAACCTGAACAAAATGAGTGAGAACTCACACCACCGCCGTTATCATCATGTCTGAGGTCCAGCACATGGTCTATACTAGAGATGATAGCAATGAGAAGAGATTCTTCTTGGATAGAGAAGAAATTGCCAAGTTAATAATGCTTGGAGGGATAGCATGAAATGGGAGATGTGTGCTGAAAGTGGATAAACCAAACATAATGGCATCTTATTATCTGTATTGCAAACCATTATACCCATAAGTAGAGAGAATAATTGTCTTCCATAGGGGCATGGGTACATGGGATGCATAGTGGGGACATTGGTGATGGAAAATGTACCCTGATGGAGGGATGGCTGTTCGATCATTGTATGAATGAAACTGAAAATTGTCCATTAGAAGAAGAAAAGAAAGGGTTTCCCCTATACACATACATGCACCCTTACCTTGGGACTTCCCTTCAGGAATTCTGGGCTTTCTAATGCTTTGGTTTCATGGGGTGGGGTTGAGTGTCCGTAACTTTGTTGAATCAAGACATTCTCATTGTCTGGAAATTTGGTGTTCTAGGCCTAGGAGGTGAAGAGCATGTTTGTCTTTCAGTTGAATTTAGTTTAGCTATTGCTAACCTTTTGTTGTCCATGTACATTTTGACTTTCTTGAGGATGAGGGTTGTTAGGAAGTTACTTTGATTTGAGTGTCATTGAGGGGTTGTTTGGGGATCCTGTGTCAAAAGCACTCAGCTCCAGGCACCCTAGAAATTACTGAAAAATTTATGTTGTGTTTATTCAGTGCTAAAGAATTGCTTTAGTGGTTAAAGTGGTTCAGAATGAGTCCTGAAAATTGCTGATTACCAACTTGAATCCCCTTATACATGCACATGCACAAGGATACACACTCTTTCACACCATCCCTTCTAATTGTGTGTTGTCCCCATGTTTGCCATCTGACTTTACACCTACTGGTTTATGAGTTCAAATGACAGGACTGCCTTAGGAGATCCTGTGACAGTGATCTCTTATTTCTCATTCCCAGACAACTTCTTATGCATTCCACATTTTGTGTATATGGCTCAGGTTTTTTCGCCAGCAAGGTTTGCTGTGCATCAAGCAGAACTTCCTGCTATCACTGGAGCTGAATTGGACTGGAGAACCAGGTCAACTGTGGGACAGATGGTGTGAAAGAACTTTTGATATAAGGTAAGCTTTCCCTTATGATCTGGTACTATCTACTTTGGCAATACTTTGTTCTGCTTTAAAGTGTTTGAGGATTCCTCCCTTAAGGCTGTCAGTCTGCCACTGTGACCTCTGAAATCATGGGCTGCATTAAAATTACACAGTCCCCCTGCCTCCCCATTGTGTTTTATCGATGATGAATTTCCTTAGCTATGCATTCCTTGGAAAACCTGAACAAAATGAATGAGAACTCTCACTGCTGCTAATTTCTCTCATTGAATCTGAGTCTTAGCCCTTGATCCGACCCTGGCGTGAGGTAAAGCTTCCTCTTGGTCATCTTTACACACCTTTATCTTGGCCTTCATTTTGAAAAAACCTTGCCTTTCAGTGTCTAGGAATTTGATTTTATCAAGAGACACCAGATATCCTTTGATTTGTGGTGTTCTTAGCATTTGCAGACCCTGTAGTTTCCAGGAAGCTGGTGGCTTCCCAAAGACCTAAGTATTGAGGATAAGTGACTAGAATTAGATGTCAGTGGTTGCATTCAGCCCTGTGATTGTTGGTGGCTGTCAAGTGGTTGCTAACTGGTTGTCTTATATGGCACTTTATAGTTGGTGGAACTATGCAATACTAGCTGCTGCTTGTCCTCTTGCTGTGGGTTGGGTCAGCTAGTACATGGAAGTAGACGATACTGACACAGTTGTGCTTCTGGCAGCTAAGGTAATAATCAGATGTGATTGCAAAAGCTGAGTCTGATCATGGTGTGCCTTTAGTCCCAGTACTCATTGTGACTCCTTGTAGGACTCTGTGGGTTAGTGGGTCAGGGAGTGTGCCTGCTTTTGGGTTTGAGTCTCTAAGATCCCCAAGAGCAGTTGAGGTGGATGACCACCCGTCAGGATCAGACATAAGGACCATATTCCACATGGGGTTCATGGAGAGGAATATATGCACAGGATATGTACGTGGCCAGCCACTTGGGTCTGTTGGCACCAAAGAACATGCTTCAGTCCTGTGGCTCTCTTATGTTGTTCAATGGCCTAAGGAAGAGCTGGTAGCTGGACTGTTAGGGATCCTCAGCCCCCTTTGCACCTTGCCCTCTTGCTGGTTCCTGATGTGCTACCACCATTGTGCAAGAGTGCTTGCATGTATTAAATAGACACGCCCCAATAGGACGGGTGACATATTCCTGTGTAGCA